GACTTAATTCTATATTAAAATACATACATATTTTAATCTGCTTTAAGTCTTTTTGCAGAGGCATGTTTAAAATAAACCTATTCCCAGTGTAAAGGCATTATTAAAATGCCTCTAAGTTTTTTTTCATTAAATGTTACTAAAGTTATCTTTTATAAATACATGTATATTCACTGAGAAATTTCATGAGTTGTAGAAGGATTAGTAAATTAATGCTAGTATTGATGTGGTAGGATTATATATAGGACTTAATCAGTGGAGAGAAGCCTAGCTACTGTTGTATAGTATTATAGAAACTACGCTGATACATAGCACCCTTTTAAACTTTGACACAAGCAAAAAAAAAAAACAAAAAACAAAAACAACTTTTAATTAAAAATTTAAATTGTCTACGAGATTTATATGAGATTTCTTTATCATCCAGTAATAAGGAGTAAAAAAAGAGGAAATTGCTTACTATGTTACCTATAGGTACTATTTCTTTGAGTGATCTTCCTATTTTACTCTATATCTGAGCCAAGGGAGTATATGAACAAAATGTATATATCTAAGAAGTGGAAGTAAATTAAGTCTAAAGTTTGGGAAACCACAGCGTGTTGGTTCTTCTTCTCTTCATCACCAGCTTGACTGAATGTAGAATCAACTAATGGATATGTCTCCGGGAAGGTCTTTGAGGATGTTTCCAGGAAGGATGAAGTAAGTTATGGGGACCCTTCTGAAGAGTCAGCAGTACTTGCTCATGGCACCCAGATACAAAGAAGTCCAAGGGTAAAGCGATGTGGCTTTTCCCTGCCCACCTTCTTTCCTGTCAGTGAGTATCTATGCTGTTGCTACTTCTGTAGTGGCCACAGCTCTCTGACATTGGAACTCAGCTTTTGGGGGCTCATAATGTGGACTAAAGAGCGGTAGCTCCCCAGGGACCCTCCAGACCTTTAGCACTAGCACGGGGCTGCTGAAGCCTCCAGCTTGGTGGATCTAGTATCAGCCTGGTCGACTGAGCAACTATTGAGTTCCCGGCCTTTCTAGTGCAGAGACAGCCATTGCTGAACTATGAATTTCCTGCTGTGTAAACCAAACTACTACATCCCTTTCATAACATATATTCATTCTTTGGGTTCTGCTTCTCTAGTGAATACTGACTGATAGATCCTACAGACTCTGGTAAGATTAAGAAATGATTTACATGCATTCCATTCTAACCCAAAGAAAGTTAAAATAGGGCCTGTAAGAAAAAGGACACAGGATTCAACCTTGTATTCTGGAGAAATAACTGGATTATTTCTGTATTATGAACTCAAAAAATTATGTCTAAAACTCTACACTCATCTTCAGGAATTCCAGGAAAAATACTGCATTATCTGAAAATCTGCCAGGAGCTTATGTATAAACAAAATAAAAGAGATGTGAATGTGTCCTGAAGAAAATGAAACTACTATCTGTGACAATTCAGCCAGATCTTTTTCACATAATATTTGGATCAGGCCAGGGAGTGGGGAGCACACCTCTCTCAGCATGTACATAATATAAAAGCTGTTCAAAACCATCATACTGCAGACTAAACTGGAAATAGACTAGTGAGGTAATACAATAAAGCACCATCTAAAGGTATACAAACACAGCTTTTGTTTTTGAGATGTTGAGTTCAATATGGAGTGTAAGTTGATGCCAGAGATAATTTTATAGCTATCATTCAAGATTTGTTGCCACAAATATTTCAGTAGAGTGGACTCTGATCTAGCACGTTTCGTTTCAATAAAGAAAAATATTTTGAGTCAGTTGGAAGATGTATCTGTCGATAAACGTCTACATCTCTCCATATTTGTCTTTCTTTTACTTTTTCATCCGTACATTTATCCGTACTTCCAGCCATCCCTCATGTGGATGAGGTTTTCTCTCCTCCTACTTTTAGGTAGCCCCTCTCATTGGAATGAAGATCTTCTGGGCATCATTTCTTCCCCTTTTCTGTACAGAGTATATTTCTAAAAATTCAATATAATGATTATGGAAGTACCTTAGCTAGTTTGTTTAATAAAAAATTCATTCATGAGTTTGTAGCACCTTCTCTGTAATGAAATGCGATCCATTCTCCATTGTCACGTACAATTTACTCTTTAACTGTGTCAGTATAGAAGTAGCCCAAATTCATTTGCAAGTCCCAACCACCAATATTCATGGCCTGTTTTCTTCCTTCTAGACTGACTGGTGAGAGAATAGCATAAATCATATTTTAATGGAAATAAGTTTGCTTTGTTCAGCTAAATAAAGCTTCCTAGCTTTTTTTTTTAGTTATTTCTAGTTTTTTTTTTTTTAGTTACACAATTGTCCTCATTAATAGCGTAATAAATATAAAGCAAACATTGCTATTCAAATTAAGGATCTATCCTCTTTTACAGATGAGGGGACTAATGATGAGGTGAATGTCTTATCCACTAGAGTTCAGGTATAAAAATCGTCAGGCCAGTGCCCTTTAAGTCCCCAGGTGTTCCGTAGCAGTTCTATAAAACCAAGTGGGGAGTTATTATGCACCATATGTAAACATCAAAAAAAAATAAATAAATTGTATTATATGAAAGCAATGTGATTAGAAGGTGTGGCTTTGAGGAAAGGAATGGGTCTTGAGGTCAAAGCCTTTATAGATGGGATGGGTACTCTTATGAAAGCAGTACCAAACCTGAACTGAAACTGAAAACTTTGTAGGCTTTGAGGGAAGGAATGGGTCTTGAGGTCAAAGCCTTTATAGATGGGATGGGTACTCTTATGAAAGCAGTACCAAACAGCTGCTCAACCTGAAAACTGGCCCTTACCAGAAACTGAATCTGCCATCAACCCCATGTTAGATTTCCCAGCGATAGGAAATAACATCTGTTGTTCATAATCCATGTAGTCTGTGCATTTTGTTATGATAGCCAAATAAGGTAAGACAGAGGGGCATCATGCTTTGGGGAACTTTTCACTCCCAAGCTTTCTACACAGATAGACAACTACTCTGTTTCAGTGAGATGGGGGGGGGCAATATAATATTAATTTTTTTTCTTCTACCTTCTAACCTAGCAGGAAAACAAAACAACAAAACAAGACACAATGGCAGAAAAAAAAAAAGTAGGGGACGATGAGCACAAAGGAGATGCTATGGAAAGGTGAAAGGAAGGGAGGGGAGGAGATGGGAAAGGGGAAGGAAAGGGAGTGAGGAAGTAGGGAAAAGAACTCAATCCTGGTATTAGTCATACTCAGAGTGGCAGATAAAACAGACACAGCCAGGAAGGAAGGGTGGTCAAAGTGAAGAGAGCCTGCTAGTGAGTCCATGTGGCTGTGAAAGTGAGAATGGTTGAGTCACAGGCTGGCCAGTGCATGTGCAAGCAGATTGTGTCAAAGACACACAGAGCGGGCAATCGGAAGCAATCGGAAGCAGCCTCCCGGAGCCTCCCTGATGAAGGCTGCTGGAGACAGCTTCAAAAGATAATTCTGAGGACTTTATAAACTTAACTCATTGTTATAAATTCCAGTTGACTAAATTCTTTAATTTGAATGTAATTATAATCTATCCTAACTCCATAGACCCATCAGGATTAAACAGAAACGCTCCGGATGAACAAGACCTATTTATTATAAGACAAAAACATGTCCTCCATGAATCAAATGGGCAACAGCTGTCTGGTCTTTAAAAGGAATTATCTCTTTTGTCCTAAGATTAGCAGGGCTGCAGAGGAAAGAAGGGAATTAACTATCATTATCGGTTCAAGTCACCCGGTAATTTCTGCAATGAAATAGCCCAACCATATTCAGAAATTATCATGAAAACACTCAGCTTTCTAGGTGAATTATTATTGAATTTATATTAACCCCTGGGCTAAGTATCTAGGGAACTTTTTTTTTTTAAGTTGCTAATGTAAAAAGATATGCTGCTGATCTCTTAGTCTGGTCACATCCAGTGAGAGTTATTTGCCCCGGGGTCTGAGCTACATTGTAATAAAATCAAAGGACATAAAAGCTGTGGCAGGAACAGGGCTGAAATTGGAGAAGCATCATTATGAATAGCAACAAGTATGGAGATGCATATGTAAAAGAATCGCAGGGTCAGTAAAACCACAGTTCTTCCTTGATTGACGGTGCACAGATAGTTATGGCTCATTGGCAAAATGATCTGCTGGGTAGGTATTTATGGATTATTATACAAAATATTATTGAGGATAAGCCTGGTTAAAAACAAATACAGAAAAGAGTAAATGGCACTGGCAGGCTTTTAGGAAGGCCATCATTTGTAATATTTTTCAGGGGGAAAATTTCAGAAATTCCATAGCATGGCTAATGTGCTATAGAAGGACTCTCCATTTTAGGAGTGCATAAATCCACATAAATTGTTGTAATAAGGATCCTTCCCATAGCCCTTTTGGCATAAATGCACATCTGGTCTCTGTTTGTAATGAAATCAATTCGAAGCCCCACAGCACATTAATAATAAAAATGTTCAACATATTGCAACTGAATAAACTCAAATTTGAGTGTGAAGATCTTGTCACACATGTGTGTACTTTTAGCACTGATAGATGATTAGGCTACAAAACATTCAGCAAGTGGCTTAGGATTCCAGAGGTAGAGCTTTCTACATTATTTTATTATTTCCAGAAGAAAAATCCAAATGTATGTATGCTTAAAATTCTGCTTGCAAAAAAAAAAAAAAATTGCTTGCTTAATGGGTAGTGCCTCTTGGATGTTTGTATCTGTATACAGCTCATGGTATGATAGAAATGTGATTAATAATAAACTCATTATAAATATAATAATGCCTGCCTTAGAGTGAGTTCATAGATTTGTAATTTAAAAACAACAGAATCCTGGAATTAGCACATAATGTGTTAGAGGTTGTCTTTTACATTGAAATTCTATTAAAATGAAAGAACTGTTGTGGATTTACTTTTAAAAGTATCCTATTTGGTTTTCGGCACTAGTCATCAACAACCAAGAGACAGAGCCTGCTAAGCCTGCCTTGTGGGTTTCATATTTACCTTCTGTGTGATATGATTGACCCAAGGAGAAGAGCAGTTGCTGAGATCTGGTCCTTGGGGATCCCATATTCCATCAGGAGCAAGGCATAGATAAGTTGACACACCTATAGAAACAAAGTTAACACTCCTGTTTCAAATACTCAAATCACATTTCTTAGAATAACTTCGAGTCTTCGCTATGCATATGTATAAGCAAGAATAAAAATTCGATAATTGTATTGAAGTAGTGTCTATTAAACTCAGATACAATATTTTGAAAGTAAATGGCATTGGACAAATGTTAAACAACAAATTAAAAGTATTCAACGTTTTTAGAGTCTTGTTGGCAACCATGGTGGATGTAGGGAAGAATTTCATGAATTACAACCTTGGATAGCTTGTCTTCATGGACCTTTTGTTTGAGTCTGCAGGGGTAAGCAATAAAGGTTGTCAGGAAAACAAGATAGGAAAGGGCATTTTGAGGAGAGGAAACATATGGCTTTTGGGAGACGTCAACATTAACACAATGAAAAGGCAAGGAAGCTGGATCGTTAAATCCCTTGTCTACTATGCTAGAAATTAGTGAAGATCATTAAGAAGAAAAGAATGGTAAGATTGCAGTTTCACAAAAGCATCCCTGGCAGAGGAATAGAGGGTGGATCTGAATGGAGCTGTGTCTAAAGTGCAGCAGCTATAACTGGAATTCCATGAGAACCTGTGTGGGCCTGGCCTTGGGGTCTAATGAGAATACAGAGAGCTATGAAATTGGGGCTCGGTATACTGGCAGTACCATTTAAGTCCTGGGAGAGCTTTAGAAGGGTTCCACTAAAACTCCTCCCCAATTTTCACAATACTAATCTATTTCAGTAGTTTAAGTGCCTTCAAATGCAGGTTCTCACTGATGCTCACAGGCTGTGTCTAGAGCACCAAGGCTGCTCTCACCTCTCTTTCAGAGAGGAAGAAACTGACTTTAGATATAAGAAAGAAGGAAGTCTTAAATAGCTTTCTGAGTCCAATGTAACAGATAACTTTAGAAACACATATTCGCATCCTTTTTCAGAAAAAAAAAAAAAAAAGAATGGCACTGAGTTTTTAAGCACTTTGTTAAAAATGAAAAATGGGTGCTTATATTAAACAAGACTCTCTAGTGTTACCAACACTCAGTATATTATGGAATCTGGGGTAACATACCCACATGGTTAAAGAAAATAAGTGAATAATGTCCAAAGACAGTCTATAGGAATATATGTATATACAGCAACTGTACATTTATTTCATTCATATATTTTGAGAAATAATGCAAATATTTTCAGTGTGTCAAGTATTATGAAGGTGAACACAAATGTCAAGCAAGGCAGTGTATTTGTCTTAAAAATGGTAAATATGACTTCACCTTGGGAATATTATAAATTATAGCAGAAATAAAACAGATTCAGAGGTATTTAGTTCTTAACTATCTCCTAGAAGAAGCACAGGGGATTGTTCTTTATTGGATGCTGTGAGTGGGAGATAGTTCCTGATAGCAGGCCCATGACCATGTCACATGCCTTTAGCCACTAGAGAATAACTATGTAGTTGGTGAAAAAGATATTCATGCTTTCTCCGTTTTTAAATGTAATCCATGGTGTGATCCATGGTCATCATGCTCTGTAGAAGAGCACACAGCTCAACTTCTGCTACCAATATTTACCCACCGTTGAGAAACACAAAACAACCTGGATACAATCCAATGACAGTAGAGGGATGTTGCAAGGAGGGCCTGGCTCTGTGGAGCATCATCCGACCCCCAGAGCTAACACGGCAAACTGTTATACAAAGGTATTTCTACCAAATTCTCACCTGTGGCTTCTGCAGGTTCTGTTATCAAATGCTGATCATACAGCACTCATTTGGTTGAGCTCATAACCTAATCAAATTGTAATAAATAAAATAGATGGTAACAACAAAAGGAAGAGAACTCAGAGGAAAGAAGACAAGAGGAGAGAAAGAAAGAAAGGAAAGGGGGGGAAAAAACGTAATATGAACGCATGAATACAAAATTAAGGCGGGGCCGGGACAGGCTGGCAGAGGCAGGCTCACCTATGGTTCCTGCTGGGCAGGGCTGCTTTGCTACTTGCCCCTGACGGGTCTTAAACCACATTATTTCCCGGGCCTCCACAGCTTCACAGCTCTCTTCCATAGCTGGAATTTGGGAGGCTGCAGATGGCAGGTGTGTGGTAATGTCATCCAGCACCTCCACAGCTGGGGACGGTGTGCTGGTACTGCGGTTCCGTCTGCCTGGCAGGGATGGCGTGGTACTCCTCCCTATGTTCCAGGTTGTGGTCCGGAGAGTGGTGCTGGTGGTTGTGCTTCCCATGCCCAGGGAGCCTGTGGTAGACATTCCTGAAACACAGGTGGAAAAAAACAAAACAAAACACCTACATGGCTTGCTCATAATCGGACCTCAGGAAGTCCCAAGACTAGAAATCACTTATATTTGACTGTTGAGAGAATATGAAGGAACTAGAAATCCATGAACTCATTTTCATTTTAAACATGACAAAAGCATGCCAGTACTGAGGTGTCAGAATGCCACTGAGTACCAAAACAGCCATTGATGACTGCCAAACACAGGCTTTTGAGGTTGTTTCTTTTTCAACTCTAAATCACAGAAAACAAAATTAGAGCGCAGTGAAACTCTGTGAACTTCTTAATGCTTTCTGTCAACAGAGAATTAAAACCTTAAACCCTCTAATTAGAATTTCAAACTTGATATGGAAAAAATTTAGATAAGATATTATACTCATATTAGATGTTATGGTTTGAAAGTGAAGATTCCACCACATTTGTAAAAACTTGGTCAATGAATAGTGACCCTAGTTTGTGTAGAATCTGTAGGAAGTAATGCTTAGCTAGAAGGAGTAGGGCCAGCTGGGGGGACGGTATGGGTTATATCTTTGTCAGGTGCTAGAGGAGCTCTCTGATTCAAGGAGAAAGGTGTGAGCAAGCTGACTCAGACTCCCATTGCCTTGGACAGATTCAACCCTTATCATGCCCTGCTGGCCATGCTAGAAAACAAGGAACAAACTATGACCCAAAATAAATCCTCCCTTATAATAATTAATATATTAGAGAATGTAAGTTTCTAAATATGACAAAGGCAAAATAATAAAATGAGAGGGAGAGGACAAAAATGGAGATTTTACACACTCAATCAATGAGAAAAGAGACCACAGATTTGAAGGAGAGCATGGGGTAGTATATGGCTTGGGTAGGAGGGAGAGGAGGGAAGCGGAAAATATTGTAATTATGTTATAATCTCAAAAAGAGCAATTCTGATTATAATCTCTTACTACACATCACTTTAGCACCTTAATGGTCTACTCACACACTTTTAGCACTAACCCAATGTGGTGGTATTTTATTTGTGCTGAAATGTGGTGATATTTTATTTGTGCTTTGATAAATAAAGCTTGCCTGCAGATCAGGGGGGAAAGGCCAGCCATTTTAAGTAAACAAAACCAGGTAGCACATGCCCTTAATCCTATCACTTAGCAGACAGGATCTCTGTGTGTTCAAGGCCATACTAGGGAACAGAACCAAGAGTGGTGACACATGCCTTTTATGTCAGTACCAACCATAGAGACCTGGAGGTCTGTACAGACAGGCAGTGACAAGGAAGTGAGGTAGCTGGGCTAAGAGCCAATGAGAGGGAAGAAAAGCAAGGCATATAAAGACATGAGTAGACAGGAAGTAGCTCGCATTTGGAAGCTGCAGAACTGGTGAGGTAAGGTTGGTGGCTAGTGGCTATTCTTATTTCCCTGATCTCTAAGGCTTTCACCCCTATATTTGACTCTGTTTTTTTATTTAATAAGACTGTTTAGAAATTCATCCACAACCCAACTTTAAAAAACAATCAAACTTGGCTTGCTAATGTAAGTAGCAAGTACTTCCTAAGAAGTTATATTGCTACATCATTTTAAAGAATATTTTTCTATATGAGTAAATGTATTCTAAGTGCCAAGTAAAGGAGGTTAGTGATAAATGAATGGGAAGCACATCAAAGTTATCCACTCTCAATAAGGGAATACTCCTTAACAGAATTCTCTTTCTGGGCAAATATATTTACGTTCTTACTGTGGGGTAGTCAAAGTGCACTACATATACACACTGAATTTGTAGCACTAGAAATCAAAACTACCAACTTCACTTACTGACAGGAGAGTACAGAGGCACTCACTGGCTCTAGCTTAACTAGTGTAAGCTTAACTCATATTAAAAAGTTTTGGAGAGTCCTTGACACTTTTGCGGTCATCCGTGGTCTACCTGATGTAAACTAACTTTAGAGTGATAAAAGTCTGACTGTCAACCCTCGGTGGTTGCCTCAGGAGAGATCCCACATTCATCAGAAAGACTTTGCTGTACATAAAACTTCCCAATCCAGCACTGATATGCCAGAGGCAGAGGATATTGATTTCCAAACATCAAATGACTGTAATCGTAGCATTCCTATCGTGAGGCTCTCTGACTTCGTGTTTTCTTTGTTTGCCTTACCTTCTCAGTTTTCTGCCTTCTCTTTGTTTTCTTTGTATATGAAAGAAAAGTGGACAGGGAGAATGGTAATGTAGGCTATTATAACTACAACTGCTTCAAATTGAGACAAGAAGGCAGAGCGTCTCTTTTCTGTTCCTCTCCCAAGTATATTATATACCCCAAATTGCGAAGCTTGGCTGTATGTGTGTCTCTTTCTTCTATCTGAAACTTGTATAGTTTTTCCTTTCTTTCCCTAGTCACTGCTGCACCCAGAGTCCATCACCATTGGTGAGCGAACACAGTAGGGTTTTGAGTATTTTCCTGACAGCTACAGCAGAGTAGAATGGTCATCCTGTTTAGTGTTTGATTGTTCCAAAATAAACTCAGGGTTCATAAAGTACAATGATTAACTCTGATGTTTGCTACGGATTAACTAACTTTTAAGAAAATGTTTCAAAATGTTAAATGAACTCAATGCTTTAGATTAGAAACAACAAAACGAGACTAAAACATATTTAGATATCTGCAAAAATACATAGAAAACATCATTGGGAGGTAAAAATAAATTGAAAATTAAATATTTAACACTGCTAAGCATTTATTTTTAAAAATTCATGTGAATATGTCATCACTGGGATGCAATGATATTTTGAATATTTTTCAGGTAATTTTTTTTTCAAATGATAGGGTTTTTTTTTGTTTTTGTTTTTTAACTTTTCGCTACTGGGGGAATGTTAAGGCAATAGTTAAAAGTGAATCTCATGTGTTTTCTCTTTAATTTAAATAAAGCTAGCTCTCATTTGTACTTGTGGAGGAACCTCTTAGAGGAACTGTGAAGCTTTTGACAGGAACTATAATCTTTTCATTGATAATAAGCTGTAGTCTTTATTTCACACAAAGCCTTGCTCGTTCTTTGTCTTTTTAAGTTCGATCACGTATAAATGGAGATTCGTGGAGTTACCTGTTATTAGCTAAATAATCTTATGCTCAGATTGTTTTTCGAACCTCTTTGGGCTAGAGGGGGGAAAAGACTTTTAAAATAGACACAGTTTTCAATTGTCTTCTTTGTCGAGAATTATACAGGCAGTGCAGAATGCTTTCAAGATGAATGTCTTTTTTAATACTGGGTATTTTAATTAGCACGTAACTGGGAGGGAGACCAGTTCAGCGATTATTTTCTGTATAAAAGTAGGTAGTTGTACATATGCACAAGAGGGGCCTCCAGGATTTTTGCTTGTGGTGACTCCAGCCTTGACACTTTCAAAGAGATCTTTTAGCATATATTTGGTATGTATCGCTGCATTCCAGTAAGCGAGCCAGTATTTTGAAGACTACATCATCACCGCAAAACATTTTAGAAATAATAGCACCATGTAATAAAACACAGTAAAATAAAAATCATGATTTTTCTTCTCTTTTTCTAAAATTAACTCACTCGGAGCATTTTCTTACTTTCCCAGAGGTATTTCTTAGAGTAAAAACTGAATGGTGTTCCTCTCCCTTTCAAACTCTGAAATAGTTTCTGCATATTCTCAAAAAAAAAAAAAAAAACCTCAAACTTTTCTACTTCAGGCTCAAAGACCTTTGTGAGCTTCTGCAGGTCATTCTGAACACTCTCACCGTTTTAACCATCATCATTTAAACCACACAGGACCAAAGTCCAGCAACTGCAGTGTCCTTCTCTGTCACAGGGTCTTGCTGCCCCGTTTCCATCTCACTATGCCCCTATCTCTCCTTTGAGTCACAGATTACATGACATCCAATTCCATCAAAGATCCTTCCCAAATTCCCCAAGCCTGACTTATACACTAGCATGTGTTTTGTTAAAATTATTTCTTCAGAAGTCGGCCTTTCCCAGGGTAACTGCGCTCTAAGTTAAGACAGACGAACGTTGAAGATAGGTCAAATAAGGAAGCAGTAGAGGCAGAGGATCAGTAAAAATGGGGAAGACTATGCAAATGAAATAACATATGACAGCTAAATGTCTCTTAATGACCAGTCTAGAAAATTTATCTTATAAATGAATCTATGCTTACCACTAAAGAAAACCAATAGACAACACAAAGAGTCCAGAACCTGAGAAAATGAATGTCTTTCTCTGAAAAGTGGCTGTAAATCAATACAGTTATAGTAAAGCAAATACGCTCTTGAAAAAAAAATACTCAGCTCAATACAGACAACCTAATTCTAAGAATCAAAATATAATTTCTTCCCTAAGAACTGTGTCACTGAGAATGGTCTAAAAGTGGGAATTCTCCAGTTCTGCTGGAATTTAATCAGAGTAACAGTCATTTTTTAACGACCCCCTATGCTCTCCTCCTTGCCCCTTTCGGCTCACTGCTCTGCTGGCATCCCATGGGTACTGTGGGATGCCAGCTCTAGAAGAGTAAGTGCGAGTGGCATCCATAATGTCCCTTGAGGTTGGGAAAGAACTTGTCTTACTGACAGCTAATGACAAAGGAAAACTCGGAACCCTCAGAAATGCCATTGCCTGTTGGGTTCCAGCCCCCATCACATGCTATGAGAGCGTCTTGGTCTTCCATAAGGAAACGTTGAAGTGACACTGTCTCCATGGATGCTACTGTACAATCTTACCTGAAGACAGAGCAAACCTAATCAGACTGTGGGCTAAGTGTCCGTGTGCTGTGAATCTTGGAAAGGCTACTGTGTGAAAAAGTAAGTTTGGGTGACTACTTACATTTAGCATTTTATCCTAGTTGAATGTTTTGCTATTTACCATCCTTACCTTTCCCAGTGTGTTTCATAATAATAGCTAAATAAAATGCCATATTGAGTTTCCCTTCATAGCCTTACACTACCCACCGACACATACATGCCAACAAATTCCTCCCCATTCTTCTGACTCTTGA